GGCCTTAGCACAGGGCTTGGTACACTGTCCTGGTTGGGACCCTCCCAGGGAATCCCAAAGCAAGCTGACATCTAGCTGTCAGAGAGGAGACCACTCCTTATATTGCCTTATACTTAATTTCTTCTTTGCTGAAAAAGTAGAAGTTAAAAGAATAGGCAGAAGTGAAAAATCAAAAAATCGTAGACAACGGGGCGCCACATTTTGGGCCTGGTGTTAAAATTCAACTCCTGACCTCACCGTTTGTGCTATCTATAGATTCCAGACAGCATGTAAAAAAGCATTATGAAACTCCCCGTTCTGTTCTGTTTTGTTCTGATTACTGGTGTGTGCAGCCCCCAGTCATGTACCCCTCGCTTGCTCAATGGATCACGACCCCACCCCCGCACAGCCCCTTTAGGGTTGTGAGCCCTTATAAGGGACAGGAATTACTTATTTGGAGAGCTCGATCTCTAGGATGTGACTCTGACGATGCTCCCAGCTGAATACAGCTCTTTCCTTCCACGATCCAGTGTCAGGAATTCTGTCTACGACTCCTCCTGCTACAGCTGGAGGGAAACCCTCTTCCTTCCCAGCCCCAGTTGTCTCTTTGTAACCATGATAGTTTGCTGCCGATGCACACACGTCAAATCTGTATGCTGAGATGCTGGGCTGCAGCAGAGAAGGGGTTAATCATAGGGTCACTGAAGAAGTTGCTGGGAGGGAACCTCAAATCTATCTCCCAGAGGAATCTGGGGCTGGGGTTTGTTGTTGCTGTTGTTTGGTGTTGGTTTGGTGTTTTTTTTTGTTTGTTTTTTGAGACAGGGTCCCACGCTGGAGTTCAAGGGCAGAATCATAGTGAAATGGCAAAGATTCCCTTGTCCCCTCGCCGGGCATGCAATGGGGGACTGGCTTGCTTCTTTGGTGCCCCACTGCTCAAACCCCTAGGGGAGCATATCGACAGGCAGGGAGCCCCACGGCAGCTTCTAGGGGTGAATGTTGATAGCTGAAGCCCCAGTGGGCATGTGCTACAGGGCACTCTCTTAGTTTAGCCGTCTGTAGGCGGCTTGTGTTAACCAGCTCAATTAGGCCTGTGCCTTACCACAAGGACAGAGGCCTGTATCCCGGGGTTCTTGCTGTACAGGAAGAATCGGATCACACGTGGGCTTGGAGAATGAGTGCAAAGTTTGATTTCGTGGAAGCAGCTCTCAGCAGATGGGGGAGCCAGAAGGGAGATGGTTTTCCCCTGGAGTCAGGCCTCTCAGCAGCCTGGGCTCTCCTCCGACCACCCCAGCCAAACTCTGCATCATTCCACCAGCCGATGGCCTGCCGGGGTCTCAGTGTGCTCTTCTGCCGGTGTGCTCCCCCCAACGGCCTCTCGACATCCAGCCGCTTGTGTGTTCTGCCGATGGGTTCCTCTCCATGTCCAGTGCTTGGGTTCCTGCCCACTAGGTCTTGGAGTTTCTATAGGCACAGGATGGGGGCGTGGCAGGGCAGGGTGGTTTTGGGAAATGCAACATTTGGACATGAAGGCAGGGTGTGTCGGTCGTCACCTAGGTCCGTGGGCACAGGCCTGTAGGTGGAGTCCTAGCCACGGACCACGCCCTCCTCTACCCAGCACTTCCCTGCCCACCACTCATATCAATAATTCACTGCAGCCTTGAACTCCTGGGCTCATGTAATCCTGCCGCCTCAGCCTCCACCGTGCCCAGCTACTTTTTTTTTGTTTGTTTTTTTGAGACGGAGACTCGCTGTCTCCCAGGCTGGAGTGTAGTGGCGCAATCTCGGCTCACTGCAAGCTCTGCCTCCCAGGTTCACACCATTCTCCTGCCTTAGCCTCCCAAGTAGCTGGGACTACAGTAGCAGTGAGGACGACCAGAGGTCACTCTCGTGACTATCTTGGTTTCGGTGGGTTTTTGTCACTTCTTTACTGCAACCTGTTTTATCAGCAATGTCTTTATGACCTGTGTTTTGTGCCCACCTCCTGTGTCATCCTGTGACTTAAAATGGCTTCACCGCCTGGGAATGCAGCCCAGTAGGTCTCAGCCTCATTTTACCCAGCTCCTGTTCAACATGGAGTTGCTCTGGTTCACATGACTAACAGTTTCACCTTCTGGTCAGAGCCTTTGGACCCCCACAGGCTCTGACTCAGCCCTCTTATCCCAGGCTAATCCCATCCCTGTCCCATCCCTGTCTAAAAACCCCACTACCTTCTTTCTGAGAAAGTTGAGTCTTGTTTATACTAAAGTGTTAATGACTCACAAAGCATTCCCAGAGGAAAAGTTAACAGGAAGAGACTCTGAGGCTCTGGTGGTGAAAGGTCAGGCATCAGCCCTGGTGGAGATTTTTTTTTTTTCCTTGAGGCCCCTCCTGACACCCCCATCTCTGCACAGGAATAGGAATGTGCCCAGCGGGTCCACCTATCTGCCCACGTGGCCCCAGCCCCAGGCTTCTTGGAGTAGAGCAGGGCTCATGCGTGTGGCACCCACACGCAGTTTCAGGCATGGACTTTCTCGGATGGCTGGGTGGCTTTGGGGGAGGTGGGAGCTGTTGGTGGAGAATGCTGAGCCCAGCCCTGACGACGGTCCTCTTTTCCTGCCTTAATAGGCTAGTCCTCACCACTGTGGGGGCCTCAATTTGGGGATATTCTCCTCAAACTCCTGCTGGTTCCGAATCTTGCAGGGAGACCAGCATCTCCTTAGCTGCAAATCCCAGTCGCTGCGGGGTCTTGGGGCTTCTGGGAGTCCCTGATGGGCCCAGAGCTTCCTTTCTCACTGACCTGGAGGCCTCTCCCTATGGCTCCCCATCTGACGTCTTCTTACCTGGGAGACTTAATTGGAAAGACTCACAGGGACCCGGGAGCATCACGGGGAGCCCTCCTAGGTACTGACAGATGTTTATTCATTTTGAAAAATGGGCAAATAGCAAATAAAGATGTTTAGGGTACATTTGGAACAAAACAGCAAAATAGTCACAGTAGTGCTTGCCGCTCAGTGGGGAGAAGGCGCATGGGTTTTCCCATCTTTTATTTGGAAATCGTAGATGCACAGAATTGCAAAGAAGCCTAGAAGTCTCCATGCACCCGCCCCCACCCCCACGGCATCATCCCGAAAAGCTGCAGGGCAACTGCCAAATCCAGACACACATGCCCAGCACCCACAGGGACGGCTCAGACAGGGAACTTTACTTTCTTTGTACTCTCAGTATTCCCAACACTTCTGGAATAGGCATGTGACCGTTGATTTTAGCTCCTTATTTCTTTTTATTTAATTAAATAAGCAACATATGGATACTCCTTGTTTTGAGAATTTTGGGCCAGCCGCGCACAGCAAAGAGGCTGAGCGCCCCTCGGCAGCTCCCTGCACAGCCACACGCTGGGATGCGTGTGGAGATCACCCACTGGGTTTGGAGGTGCACAGGACCTCAGGGGGCGATCCCACCAGAGGAGCGGGGCTCGGCCTATGGCCCAGCTACCCCGAACTCCCCAGAGCTCCAGGGCCTTTCCTTCCATTTCCAGGAGTGACACCAATCTTGTCTCCTCTCCCAGCCCCAACCAGTGGGAAGAGAGGGTCCCATAACAGGCCATGGCAGTGGCCTGGGAGAGGCCACCCCTGCTGCCTGCCCACCTCAGAGGGTCCCCAGCTTGAGGATTCCGAGCAAACCTGGGTGCTGCATGTGTCCCTCCCCTGGAAAGAGCAGGCTGGAGATAGTGACCCCTCGTCCCACCTCCCAGGTGCACTGCGGGTGGACTGGGAACCAGGCAGCAAAATCCACCCAGCTTGAGGCCCGCGTCCTCCTGAAAGGGCCCCAAGCCCACACCCGGGGTGTTGCTGAAGTGACCAAAGGTAACCGCTGTGCTGAGGGGGCACGGGAGGACAGAGAGGGGCGAAGTCGTGGTACCCCAAGATCATCCCAGAAAACACGTTGGGAAGTTCTACTTTGTGTCTAGCCTGACTCCTTCTCCGGCGCCCAGGCCCTTTCCCGACAGACACAGCCCTCCCCTCCTATGTCCCTGAGCTTCCTGGTGCCTCTCCCTCTGCCCCCGGCAGCCCTGGCTTCTGTGCTGTATCCTCAGCAGGGCCTGGAGACACCCCAGAGGCCTTAAGAGCCACACCCTTCACTTTGATTTCTGCAGGAAACGAGGTGGCTCTGGGCCTTGGATAGGAAAGGGTTGGGGGTCTCGCTGGGGCCCAGCAACACTGACCTGAGTATGACCAGAACAGTCACCAGAGGCCTCCTGGGAGGGCGGGTGCAGCCCCAGCCCCCGCCGTGAGTAGGAGGAGCGGGGGCGGGTGTGAAAGTGTGGTGGGCAGCAGCGGGTCTATGCGGCTCAGCAGTGGAAAGTGAGCGGGCCAGGCTTCCAGGCGAGCTCAGGGACGGTTTTCACTGCAGCTAACCCTCTCCTGCCCGCCTGCACTCCCCGTGGTAACCAAAGGCCCTGCAGTGTGCGACTCCTCTTTATTCTTCCAAACTCTGTGAGCCTGCACGCTCCCATCCAGGACAGAACAGCAGGGGAGAGTGGCTGAAGGATGACAGGGGGCCTTTAGGGCCAGCTGGGTGGATGAGCTGAGTCTGCTAGGGTTGAGGGTTCAGTTGGGGGTCGGGGGGCATCAGTCGGGGGTCGGGGGACGTCGAAGCCTGGGCCCCATCCAGCTGTCCTCTTTGTCCGGCCCAGGTGTCCCTGGGGTTCCTGTTGTGCCCCCGGTTTCTCTAGGGTTAAGTCCTCCTCCCCGTTCCCTCACTGTGGGGTTTAGCAGCATGGCCCAGCTGTGGAGTTTGGACTGGCAGTCGGGGTCACAGCAGACTCAGGAGCTCCGATTCCGGGGCCAACACTGAATGCTCCTCTTCTGGGGACATCAGCGCCTCTCCCTTGGCTACTTGGGGAGGCTGGTATGGAGGGAAGTGGAGGGAGAAGGAGGAGGTGGAGGGAGACGCGGGGAAGTGAGGGGAGGTGGGGGGAAGGAGGGAAAGAGGGAGGAGGGAGAAGGGGGAAGGGGAGGAGGAAGGAGAGGAAGAAGGAAGAGGAAGGGGGAGGGGGAGGGGGAGGGTAGGGCAGCTCAGGCCCTTCTGTCTGCTCTGATCTTCATGGCCTGAGGACAAGAGCTGCTCCCAGACCTGCGGAGGCCCCTTGGAGCAGAGGGATGTTTCAGAGAACACCCGGGTGACCTGCCTCCCTGCTCTGCATGACGCAGCACTAGGCCCCTGTGAGTCCAGCGTCACCCCTGCAAGGTGGGGGGTCACGGCCCCTGCCTGGACGGGCTGCACAGCCCATCTGTCTTTACTTGGGCCTTCTCTGCTTCCAGAGGCTGCCCTGGGCGCCTGACCCTGGAACCTTCATCTCCCCCACAGCCCTGGGACCGGCGCCAGCCTGGGGAGGGGTCTCCATGCTCAGTTCCTTCCCGTCTTGTTCAAAGAGACACTGCCTGCCCACGTGCCATCAGCAGGATCCACAACCCTGCCAGGGGCCCCATGACACGCCCCCGCTGCACAGAGCATGTGACCCCAGAGGCCACCCTGGCCCGTTCCAGAAAGTGTGGGCCCTGGGATACTCCCCTCCCAGGGTGTCTGGTGGCCGGCCTATGCCTATCCCTGCTGTCCTGGGGTGAGCCCGGAGGTCAGGAGCTCCAGAAGGGCCAGCTGGGCATATTCTGGGACTGGCCATCAGCCCCCATTTCTGCTGCAGACCTGGTCAGAGCCAGTGTTCCCTCCATGGGGCCTGAAGACAGTGCCAAGTGCCCGCGCCATGGACCACAGCTGTGCCGCTGGGCAGCTGGTGACGGTCCCGCGCGGGAGCGCTGTGGACCCCGCTCTCTGGGCAGCCCTGCCCTAGGCCTGGACAGCTGCAGAGCCTGGGACCATGTGGATGGGCAGATCCTGGGCCAGCTGCGGCCCCTGGCAGAGGAGGAAGAGGAGGAGGGCGCCGGGGCCATGTCGCCCAGGGGGCCTGCCTTCCCCGGCATGGGCTCTGAAGAGCTGCGTCTGGCCTCCTTCTATGACTGGCCGCTGACGGCTGGGGTGCGGCCCGAGCTGCTGGCCGCTGCCGGCTTCTTCCACACAGGTCAGTCCCGGGCGGGGGGGCCTTCCTGCTGTGGGCCTGGGCACGATTCTGGACCCTTCCAGCCCAGGGCTCTGCCTCCTCCGTAGCATCCATCCCCCAACAGGAAGGGTCTGGCCGGATGATGGAGCAGGAGTCCTGCAAGCCCTTCAGTGCCCATGTGCTCCTGCCTGACACGCTCTCCCGGAGTCTCTGCTGGCCAAGTGTGTCAGACTGTGGGACATGAGGAGGGGCTGCCTCTGGCCATGGTCTGGGGGTCTCAGCTGTGGAGGCCACCAGCTTGGTGCGCAAGTACCTTTTTGTGATAGAAGTGGGTGGGGCTGACATTGCCTGGGGCCCTCACCGTCCTGCTGCTGGTCTGCACGGGGGGGAGGAGATGTTTAAGGAACAGGATCACGGTGACCAAGGCAGGCGTGGTCAGCCGGAAGGTCCTGGCAGCTCAGCCTGTGGGGAATTTCTTCAGGACCCAACCTGCAGCCACTGTCTGGTCTTCCCCAACTAAATCAAGTCCCCGGAGTACCTATCCTCGTCTTGACCTGGGCCCGCTCCTCGGCCCTACAGCTGGGGACCATGTGGTCAGACCTGAGTTCAGGTCCCAGCTCTGCCACTTCCGGGCTGAAGGACAGGGCAGCAGGGCCCACTGAGGGCTTTACGAGTACTGGCACAGCCAAGGTCATTGTCAGCAGTGGGCTCTGGGAGGGCACCATCCTGGTAAGGCTGGACCAACTTAAGACAGCTGGTCGGGGGGGACAGTGGCTGGGACAGTCAGGAGTCGTGGTGTGAAGGGGCAGGCCTGGCTCACCCAACTCCCTGGAGGTCCAAGGCTCAGCAGGTGAAGGTCAGGCAGGAGGCATGGCAGGTGCAGAGCCAGGGTCTTTGGGGCTGGTCGAGGTCCAGTGCCTGATGCAGCCCAAACCTGTGATGTCAGTGGCAGGTGATATATCGCATGCCTGCCGATGAGGGGACGGGGCTGTCAGGAGGTAGAGCGAGGAGGGGTCCCCCACCCCTAAAGGGAGGCATGAGTTCCTAAAACCAAGCCTGGCCCCAGACTGGCCTTCTAGGGCAGCCTCCCTTCTTCCTCTCGCTGGGACTCATCTTGGGGAAGCAGAGACCTGGGGAGGGGCCCTTCTGGCTCCTGAAGCCTCAGGGCTATAGATGTGCCAGGCCCTGGGGGGCCCCCACTGCTTACTCTGGGAACAATGCAAATGCCAGCTCAGTCCTTTCCTGAACATTCTCACCCATCCTGGCCGGCACCCCAGACACCCTTGTCCCCTTTTCACCTTTGATGCTAATGAGGTGCAAGAGTCCTCCCCCACCCAGCCCCCTGCCCACCCCCTCCTCCCTGTTGCCACCTGGGAGCTCCCCTCCAGTTGAAGCTCTCGCAGCCTTGGAAGGACGTACGGGGGGGACAGGGGGCTGGATGGGGTCTGGCTGGGGCCAGCATCTCTCCGCACCCCAGGCCAGCAGGACAAGGTGAGGTGCTTCTTCTGCTACGGGGGCCTGCAGAGCTGGAAGCGCGGGGACGACCCCTGGACGGAGCATGCCAAGTGGTTCCCCAGGTACCAGCTGTCCCTGTGGGGCCCCGGGTCTGATCACGGGTCAGGAGTGGGCCCCAAAGGGCTCTGTCGACCCAACACCAGGCCTGCTTTGCCTCCCTGGCCCCACAGGGCACTGGGGAGGCCCCTCTGTGGATGGTGCTTCCGGCCGGCAGGCACCCACTTTTCCTGTGAGGGCCCCTGTTCGGAAGGGCTGCTGGGGGCAGAAGTGCCTCTCCTGTGGGACTACCCTGAAGCCCCATGGAGGTGTCTCCAAGGCAGCCCTCCTCGCCCATGCCCACGGGCACTGCAGGGCGGCGGGAGGAGGGGGCCCAACCCCCGGGGATCCAAGGGCTTGAAGCGGACGGCGGGGGCCCTGAACCCCAACCTACATCTGTGGGGCATCTGCAGCTGCCAGTTCCTGCTCCGGTCAAAAGGAAGAGACTTTGTCCACAGCGTGCAGGAGACTCACTCTCAGCTGCTGGGCTCCTGGGTGAGCGCCACCTCCCCTCGGGGCTCCGGGCGGCAGTGGGGTCCTGCCCCTCCTATTTCCCCAAGGCACCGACAGTCTCTGGCTCCTTCCAGGACCCGTGGGAAGAACCGGAAGAGGCAGCCCCTGTGGCCCCCTCCGGTGAGAGCCAACACCCTACTGACTCCTTGGGCACCTGCAGCCTGTGCTTGGCCAAGGCCATGGGGTGTCCCCACCCTGCCAGACAGCAGGGAGAGTGACGGGCACGTGACCGGGTGTGAGGCTGCTGCCTGGGTTGGCTTCATGGGGGCTGTGCCGTGTGAGGTGGCGCGGGGCGGCAGGGGCCTCTGCCAGTGCCAGGTCCCCATTCTGCTTCTCCCCCAGCTCACCCCCTGGGCACAGCCCATCGCCCCTCGCCGCACCACCCCCAACAGTGCCCAGCACACAGTGTCTGCAGCCACTGCCAGATGGGCTGGATGTGCAGAGGGCCTTGGACAAGGGGCAGGCTCTCTGGTGGCCCCTCCAGGAAGCCTTTGGATCCTGTTATGCTGTGGGAGGGGTGGGAAGAAGTGTCGGGAGCGGGGGTACTCTGCAGTCCCTCCACTCCTGGCCAGAACTGGACCCCACAGGCTGCGGACCTGTCTCTGGGCCGGCCCGGCTTCCCCTTGGGAGCTAGGCCTCAAGTCCATCCTAACTGTCCACAGTCCCTGCCCCTGGGGACCCTGAGCTGCCCACGCCCAGAAGAGAGGTCCAGTCTGAAAGCGCCCAGGAGCCAGGTGCAGGCCCGGGACCCCCTGGGGTGGGGGCTGGGACAGGGGAGGGCTGATGGCACCTGGAGGGCTGGGTAACGCCAACCTTCCACAGGCCGAAGAGGGCAGGGGCCAGGGTGCGGGGACACTTTGCAGGCCTGTCCTCCTAGGGGGAGCCAGTCCAGCCCAGGCCCAGAGCGGGTGGTGGGTTCTTGAGCCCCCAGGAGCCAGGGACGTGGAGGAGCAGCTGCGGCGGCTGCAGGAGGAGAGGACGTGCAAGGTGTGCCTGGACCGTGCCGTGTCCATCGTCTTCGTGCCATGCGGCCACCTGGTCTGCGCTGAGTGTGCCCCCAGCCTGCAACTGTGCCCCATCTGCAGAGCCCCCGTCCGCAGCCGTGTGCGCACCTTCCTGTCCTAGGCCAGGTGAGCGTCCCAGCACCACGCACAGCCAGCCCTCCTGCGGAGATGGCCCTGAGCCGGCCGTGCCCGGCCCTCCTGAACCCGGCAGGCCCTTCCCGGGTGGCATCGTCAGCCTGTCCTTACCCCGCTCACCAGGCCCCACTGATAGCACCCATCAGCCTTACTACCTGCCTTGACGCTTAGGTTGGGGCCTGGTCCTTCTCAGCACCATGCCCTGGCAGCCACCACAGCTCTGCCCGCCTGCGTTAACTGACGCCTGCTGGCTCCTCTCGGCCTTGATTTTCTTCAGTGGTCAAGGAAAGCCGGCTTTGGAGGCGTTTGGGGAAACAGAGTGGGCCGGTTTGGGCTTACACAAGCGAGACACCAGCCTGGCCTTAAACCGGGGCCAAGGCACGGTGGGGACGCCTGCACGGTGGGGACGCCTGCACGGTGGGGACGCCTGCATGGGACGGGGGCGTGTGAACCTGTTCTTAGAGAAGTGGGTGGGATGCCCCAAGCTGGCCGAGGGACAGGTGCTGTGACTGCCTCGGGGCTCTCCAGGGCCTCTGTAGTTACCCCCGGGATGTGTCTGAAGATCTTTTGGAGGGGACAACGTAGTCAGGCAGGGAAATCTGGGAAAGGGAAATCTGGTATCTGAGGCCCCTGGCTCAGTGGGCCCTGTTGGTAGCCATTGACTCACCCACCCCTCCTCTCCCTCTAGGTACCGTGGTCGGCCAGGTGGGCTGCAGAGTGGGCTCCCTGCCCCTGTCTGCCTGTCCTGGACTGTGTTCTGGGCCTGCTGAGGATGGCAGAGCTGGTGTCCATCCAGCACCCACAAACCCTGATTCCCTGACCACCGTCCAGGGTGGAGAAGGAAGCCCCTGCTTGGCATGGGGGATGCCTTTACTGTACCTGTTTGGATGCTTCTGAATAGAAATAAAGTGGGTTTTCCCTGGATGTACCCAGCAGCCTGTTCCAGACCACGAGCTGCCTCCCCACCGGCCCAATCTGACACAGGTCGCCACCTCTCCAGGCCGGCAGGGCAGCACCTGCCCAGGTCCAACCGGCTCCGGGCTGCTCCCCAAACTTCCCGCACTCCCGCGGACACCCCCTTCCGGGCCCCTCGCCTCCTTCCCCTCGCGCTTGTCCTCCAGTATTTTCAGGACTGTTGGAACAGGCAGGCCTCAGGCCCCACCTGAGATTGTACCCGACTGTCCCCCAAACTCGGCATCTTCCGGAGGGTGGGCGAGGGCCATGTTCCTGTTTATTTACCAACTTGATGATACCTGGGGGAGCCTTTGGGACTGTTTGCCCAAGACCCCTCTTTACAAGGGTACGGCCCCCTTGTCACCACCAAGTGCCCTGCGGTATGCCTGGGGGCCTGGCTCTGCCGTTCTTGGTCAAGCCCAGCCCACACCCCAGGACTCCATCAGCCTCAGCTCCTGGCGGCTCTGGGGGTTCTTCTGGCACAAGTTTGGGGCTGGGCACCCTCCATGCTCAACTGGGGCCCTTGCCGCTTGCCGGGTCTCGGGGCTTACATTCTTGGGGCTCACATTGACTTCCTGGGGGGCTGTGCCGTTCCCGCCTCGCTGCGCCCCAGCAGCGGTGCTTGCAGCCCGAGGGTCCAGCGGCCCCAGCTGGGCACCTGAGAGAGGGGCTCCTCGAGGACACGACGGCCTGGGGGCAGAGCTGTGTCTCCCACGTTGCCGGAGGAGGTGGGCATGTGGGGCTCTGCCTCTTCTTCTGTATGCTTGCTTGTTTTCTTCTTTTTTTTTTTTAAGAGAAAGGAAATTACAAACTCTCTTGAAGTTGTAGCCGGCTGTGGCTGCCGCCCTGGCTGATGTCCAGCACTTAGAACCCAGGGCAGGTGCTGCCGGCCACCTGGAGGGTGCTGGGTGGGGGTGCGTCCCAAGGCCTGGGGGCTCCTGTCATTGTCGCTGGTTGGTTGCTGAGGCTGGAGGCCGCAGGAGCAGGATCAGCTGTTTCCTCACTTACGCAGGCCTGTGGGGACAAGGTCAGAGAGCACCTGGGGGAGCAGGGCTGGGGCGGCCACTGGGGGCTGCCACCTCCTCCCCTTAGAGAACCTGAAATGGAACAAAGTCCAAGCAGTGATGGCTTCAGGCCTTTGGCAGAAAGGAGGTAGGTGGGGCTGAGGCTCTGGAAAGCCACCACTGCCTCTCCCTGTGCCGGGCAGGTCAGCGTCTTGTGCTTGTTTGCTGACATCTCAGTGGGGTCTGGGCTGTGGGGCTGGGAGTGGAGTGGGGGCTCGCCCAGGGGTGTACCTGGGTCCCTGGCTCAGGGCCTGCGTGTGACCCCACCCCTGCCCGGGTCTTTATTCCCCCGTTCTCTGACATGGGAGCTGGGCTCCTGCTACCTCGGACAGCCCCTGCCATGACAGCCCTCATTTTTAGGAGAGAAGGGCCAGGGGCTACCCAGGGGCGTGCCATCAGGTGTCTCTGGGGGCCTGGGCAGCCCAGGGGCAGTGCAGCCACCTATCCTGAGCCCCAAACTAGGATTGTGTACAGGGCAAGCTGTGTGGCAAAAGCTATTTCAGAGGAGGACAGCTGGGAGCCCCGGCACCCCACCCCAGGGTCTGGGGTTTGCAGAACTGTGGACACTGCCTTTCAAGAAACAAGTCTGGTTCTGCCAGACAGGAAACCAGGGCCCCAGCTGCCTGCCACGGAGAGACCCCTACGGCAGCCCCATGCCGCCCGCTGGGAAGTGGCTCTTCAGGACACCCTTGCGGCCCCTGACTCAGAGCCGACTCCCGGACCCAACCCCCTCCCACAGGCGCAGTCTCTGCTGGGCTCTGAGCTTCTGGGCTGGGAGTGGGTCCTAGGTCTCTGCAGCCCCAGTACCACCCCAGAGCCTGGCATGAAGCAGATGTTAGAAAAGTGAGGGTGGATGGATGGACGGATGGATGGATGGACGGACAGGCAGGCAGAGGAAGGCAGCCTCTTGCTGTGAGCGCCAGATTGGCCAGGCTGGCTGCAGAGCAGGTTCTGCCGGCCATACTTACAAGTACGCCTGCTTGGACAAGAGGCTGGATGGCTTTTCATTGACATGGTAGAGAGGAAATGGATCAAATCCACCAATGAAATCAACTGAAAGAAATCAAGACCCAAATAAAACCCACACAATGGAAAAGATGGCAGAGCGGAAAACAGGCCCAATCACAGAATGAAGCCCAAGGGGTCCCTGGGCCACAGACACGCCCCAAGTCCTGACACGACAGCAGAGGGGACACAGCCGGGGGACGGGGGGCATAGGACAGCCTGGGTCCTCCGGCCTGTGCGGGGACGGCCTGGGGGGACAGCAGAGCTAGGACAGCCCAGGTCCTCCGGCCTGTGCGGGGACGGCCTGGGGGGACAGCAGAGGTAGGACAGCCCGGGTCCTCCGGCCTGTGCGGGGGCTGCACTGTGTTCTGCCCTCTCCCACCACCCTCTGTCATGTTCAGTCATGGTGGCTCCCCTGACACTGTCTGCATAGCCAGCAGGCAACAGGGGCTTGCTGGACAAAGTCGATGCATTCTGAACTCCAGGTTCAAATGGGGTTCCCATCTTAAAATGTTTGAATGGAACCAGAGAGCGGAAGCTGTTTACCTCCTCCCAGGAAGCTGGCTGAGCCCTGAGTGATGGTTTAGGATCAGCGGCACAGTGGCTGAGGGATGCTGGATGCTGGGGACGGAGGCTCTGAGGGCGTCCCCTGCCTCTGGAATCAGTCCTGGTCTGAGGGCAGGGTGCCCTTTGACATGTGGACTGCTGACCCCATGGCCCCTGGGGTCCTGGAGACAGATGGCTTTGAACTGGATTCTGACCCCAGGGATAGTTCTGTCCATAGGAACCGTGGGCCCCCCAGGCACACCCAGACTCTGCTTGGCATCTGCCCTTCCCCACCCGGCTCTATCCTTCTCCACAGGGTCTTCCTGTGAGGCCACATCAGGATGAGGGGCCCAGCGAGGGCACCTGAGTGTGGACCACTCATGTTGCAGATCACAGGAAAGCTGATGGGGGCTGGCGAGCAGAGGGAAAATGAAAACCCTGCCTAGATGGGTCCAGGCTGCCACCGAGGGCCAGATGTGAGCGTCCCGGCCAGCGGGGCCTGGTTCTGAGCTGCCTGGAGGCTGCAGCGGCCCAGGACTTGGCAGGTCTGAGCTCAGACCTTCTACCTGTGGCCACTGCGGGGATCATGAGGACAGGCCTAGCCTGAAGCACAGGAGCCCTTGGACCTGGGGGACAGCTGAACCCTGGGGCCCCCAGGCCAGGACCTCTGCTCGTCTCTTCCCTGTGTGTAGTGAGTCCTCTTCTGCTCAGGCCTATAGTCGTGAGCAAGGCCCTGCTGGGCGTGGGGTCCCTCCCAAGAGGGGAGGTCTCTCTCCTTGCCCAGACAGGACAGACTAAGAGTTGCCACCTCTGTAGCAGTCTCCCACCCCGCTGCCTGCAGAGGCCCCGTACTCACAGCTGTCCTCTTCCTCTGTAAACACGCTGACCACGTAGCAGCCACAGACAAAACCCAGAAGCTGAAAGACACCACAGGCGGAGGGTGAGTGTGGCCAGGCGAGCCCGCGGGGTGTCACCGTGGCGATACGGGCAGAGGCACCCGAGCACCCCTGACCACCAAGGCCCTGCCTCTCCTAGACCTCAGGTTCCTCCTCTGTGACATGAGTGGGAGAGCTGACCCGTGGGCATCCTCAGCTCTCAAGTTCCAGCCGCACCCCTGCCTTCCGCCCCACCCCACTCAACCGGGTGGGGGGCAGGTGGGTGAGGATAATGGATATTGGGTGGGGAAGATGACCAGGTCAGCCTGAGGGGCTACAGGGAGTGGGGTGAGGCTGCAGAAGCCCAGGCTGGATGAACCCCAGGCCAGCCCAGTCCCAGCCCAGAGTCCCCTCGGGCCCCTCGCCTTTGGCCCCAGCCCACCCCAGCCAACAGCCACCAGGAGTTCCTCCCCCTCTGTGGAGCGAGCCGTCTGGGATTCTGGTTTTGAGC